GATACTGATAATCAACATTGATTTTGCAATCCTCCGTAAATATGAATAAGCTATGAGAAGATAATCAATTTTGTATCTTTCCTGCCTTAGTCGAGATCGGTGAAGACTACATCCTGTTGCTGAAGCATAATCAAGTTATGAAAAAAGTGGACAAATATGCTGGGGAGGCCTGAAACCTTAGCAGGTTTACACGGGCCTCCCCCAAACGAAATAGTAAATTTGCCTTTGCAAATCCTCAGGAAATAAATGTGTATAAGATTTTTAAAAGTACCATTTTGTGTATTCTTCTTGCCTTAGTCGAAATTGGCGAAGACTATGTAATAGGGTGCTCTAACCTTGTAGGATATATTTTATTATTGAATGTAAGAGTTGCAGTGTATTTCCGGGGACATCCTGAGACATTCCCTGTACAGTCACTTTCAGCAGCCCTCTACTAGGAAACAGTGGGCGAGCTTTGAATGACACTTCCTAATGACTATCTTCCCAGGGGTCTAGGGCAGCACACGTCCAGATCGCCTGGACCTAGCCTTATTTGGGCATGTCCAGGGACTGGTCAGTAACATCTTAAGAAAGAGAAAGGATGTGACTCAGGATGATTGTGATACAAAGAATGTAACTTTTTCCAAGAAACCGTGTGTAGACGGGCCGTGGGACGAGGGCACCGGCGCAGACGAGTCGAGACGACCATGAACTCTAGATGAATTTGGAGATGAATGAACTTTGAAGAATTCTGAAACGTTTTAGGAGTAATGTTGCAACTTGTATCTGAATGAACGATCGTATATTCTATTGTATTTGTTAAGAGTCGCTTTTAACACGTAATCCATACATCTTCGCGTTGAAGATGTAGTTGAAGCGTGAAGGCGACACGTACCTCCCAGATGAGGTGAACTATCTCTCCGTGGCCTTCCCCGAACAAAATTTGTAATAAGTCAATTTTGTGTCTTTTTCCTGCCTTAGTCGAAATCGGTGAAGACTACATCCTCTTTCTAAAGCGGGAAGATGACATGTACCTCCCAGACGAGGTGAACCACGACTCTGCGGCCTTTCCCGCCGACCAGGACCATTTGGACCAGGTCAGCCGAACCTGCGACCTCGGCGACTTCAAGTCCCCCGCCAACACTAGCGCACAGCTCGGGTGTTCTGTAAGCTGGGATGGGGCCGGGGCGGACTGTTTGGGGGCCGCTGCAGCTGGCTCAGTCAACAGTGACTTTGGGCTCACGTTGCTGGTGTTTGCTTGTTGTGTGTTATGTGTTATGTGTGTGTTTTTTGTGTGTGTTTCAAAAGTATGTAAACCAGATGAGGGTTCAGAGTCACAGGACCGGGGCAGTTCTGAACCCACTATTTACTACAACCCACTTTAACCCTTGGAACCCAATCGAACCTTATTTAACCCATTTTGACCGGGTTGGCAGGTTTTGAACCCAAAGATTTTCACAGAGGCAGTGAAGTTGTGTGTGAAAGTTATATAGAAAAGTGGAGTAGACATAATACATTGTAGTCTCTAACTTAGATTGACTTTGTACAACAGTCCCAATTTCAAAGACGTGCTTTTAATAGAGTCCAAACATGTTTTTGAAACTGGGAATGACTATTGTACAGGTGTCTATGCCACTGGGTAGTCTTACCTTTTGTATACATGTACATGTATATCTAAATTTTCAGTTGCAGTAACAACAATTTCGGAAAGTGCCCCTATCAAAGATGGCAGTATATGAAGTATGAATATGAAAAATTAATCATTATATTTTTTATGAACAGTTGTATGTACTTAAAACAACCTTCGGGAAAGTACAAAGAATACATAGTATACATATACACCAAGTAGACAAAATGCGTTATTGCAAGGCCAGTTTCCACAAAATAACTTGTTCATAGACAAAATAAAATATTTAACTGATGAAGATTAGACTGGGGCACTGAACACGTTACACAAAATACACCAGACAACTGGATAAGGTACTAGTATTTAACAGGTACTAATGTATTAGTTAACAGTGGAACTAGCTATCATGTAGTACTAGTTAGTATAGGAATGATCTAACGAATGATCAAAGTTGAAACGTTCTACTGGGAGAATCATGAAATTCCCTGATTGCCCAGTCCTGATATAAATTATATATTTTACATACTTAATCTTTACCGTCATGTTGTTTTCACTTTGATGGGAACAATAAGTGATCAAATGTATAATTTTGTTTTAAAGCTGTCAATATAATTTGGCACCAATTTTACAAACATTGACCTGTTTGCAATTAATGTGTATTCCATCAAATTGAATGTAAATATCAATTAAACACATAAAAACAAACTCACACCAATTAACTCCTGGTGGTAAATGTTTTTAAATATATTATGCACAATTTCTTGACCTCTGACCTCTCAGACATCTATTATAAAATTGTTTTTGGCTAATTGTATAGTGTAACATTATTGATTGATGGTTGTATAGTGTAATATTGTTGTAATGATTGATGTAATAATTGATGTTTAAAATTGTTGTTAAGATAAGTTTTTCTGAAGCATAATAGCGATTGAAGTAAATGTAAATAATAGTTGTATTTTTATGTTGTATAGGACTCCAGGAAGAGTAGTGATGTACAAATTTTCACTAATGGAGATTCCTTAATAAACAAACAAACAAACAAACAATTAGTTTCATGTAAATGTGTTATGTCATGCAAGTTTTTTTTTCAATAAACGGAAGCTAAAACCTTCTCTCTCCAAAGGGTGTACAAATTGCACATTCCTATTTATTTCATGAATCAGGAGATAATTATTATTATAGACCAATAAAAGACAAAATAGCCTTACACCATTGCCAGTGTACATGTCTGTGACAACTTTGCACTGGTAGCTTGTAACACATGTACATATGTACAGGTAACGTTACATGCAATAAGTTGAAGTAATAAAGGTTTTATCTGTAACAGCTTTCAATTTTCTCATATTACCTACGTCCTACAATATCTAAAATCTCCATACAACTAATGGTTGGGATTGTCCTATGAAGAGTGCTGAAAGACTACTAAGGGTCTTGTCCACCATATAACTATAATTGCAACGATTTCTTAGATGTTTATGTTACAGAGCCTTTGTCAGATCTTGTTACTGACATGTAACTGTATCTGTATCTGTATCTGTATAGCCGGTATAACCGCCTTTCGGCGTAACACACCAGCTTCGCAGGCACGCGGCGCGGCGGCAGCTGGCTATATTACACCGATCGACTTGTTACACCTAACCCTTGGACTTCTAGCTCTAGACATTGTTTAAAGCTATCTATTGTAACTGTAACTGCTAACTGTAGGGGTTATAATAGGTAGAAAGGGGTGTTGCCCGGAAATGTACTGTACTTCACTTTCGCATTAGGAGCACAAGACAGAAACGGGCAGCGGTTTCACTGCCGCGCATTCGGATCCACGGATCGAAAAATTCGGCGCGGGAAGGCCGGAAAGGTAGAAAGGCCAACGATGATCTTTGCGACATTTTCTACTGAGTAAAAATAGCTAAAAAAAAAAAAAAGAAAAAAAAGGTTAGGAATAGAAGACAGTTGGACCGAATCTTGTTCAGACAAGTAAACATGACGCGATTCAACGCTACTCTCCAAGCAGAGGTTGTGGGGAATGATCGTTACCTTTTTATATATGGCCGTTGTTGTTGTTGTTTTTTTGTCCTGATCCCCACCACCCCGTCGGTGGCTAGCAACCTTCTCTGGCTAATGGATACTGTCTGGCCAATTTGATACTGTCTTTTTGCCACCGAGAGGGATCTGCTTGGAGATTAATTCAACGCAGTAAACGATCAGCCAACGGACCAAATATGGAAATTTCGGAATGCATACTAGTAATTAATCACCACTCCTGTCAATCATTCCTGATTGACAGCGTGGGCGGTCACGTTTTGGAATATTCCAAATCGTGGTCCAGCTGCGACATGAATTGGAATACAACGTGAGGAATGCCAGTTGCATTCCGAAACGTGGTCCATTCCAAATCATGATTTGGAATAACATTATTGTTTTGGAATGCAACACACGTACCGGCACGTACCAGGTACATAATTTCTTGGCGTGCAGTAGACAGATCCAACTCACGTTCGTCTTGTCGTCATATGAGGGCCTGCAAGGGGGGTAGTGATTACGAATTACGCTAAATTTTCCCCGTCTATTACGAATTACGTCTCAGAGCTGATTACGACTTTACGATTTGCAGATAATGTCCAATTACGAATTACGTTGATTTTTGCGGAGGCTGCCTACGAATTACGAAGTCTAAAACGGCCTGATTACGCCTTACGAAAAAGGGCTTGCAGGCCCTCTCATATTTCAACAGATCGTCTGAAGAAAAGGTAGGTGACGCTTTATACATTTGCAAGGACGTTTTACAAGTAAAATGTCCTGGGTACCTTGTTGTAAAACGTCCAACGGTTCTTTGTGTGTGTGTTTGAGTGTGTGTGACTCTCACAGTGTGTTAGCCGTGGACGACTCTGGTATTAAATCATTTTTGCATGATAATGCTGGATACAGATCCGGCATTATCATGCAAAAAGAATTACCAGAGTCGTCCACGGCTAACAGTGTGTTTGTGTGTGTGATGTGTATATGCATGGAGGTATATACCTCCATGGTATGTGCAAGGACGTTCAACATCCTTGGTATGTGTGTGTGTGTGTGTGTGTGTGTGTAATGTGTGTGTCTGTGTGTGTGAGGTTGTGTGTGTGTATGTGTGTGTGTGTAGTGTGTAGTGTGTGTGTCAGTGTGTGTGCATATGTGTGTGTATGTGTGAGTGCGTGTTTCACTTTTAGGGACTGTGTGTACATGTGCACATGCATGTGTGTCAAAGAATGCGCGTGTGCGTGCATGTGCGACTGTCTGCCAAGTTGATGTGTGTTAAATCATACCACAGTGACTGTACATCACGTAAACCCTGACTTTTGTTATCCTACAGTTAGAGATGACTTTGTACCCGCTCACCTTAAGCCTGGGCGTGGCCGTCCTCATGACGTCACTTCCTGACGTCATGACGTCCTGTGCACCGTGGCGGTCGCCCATGTCGTTCCCAGAGAAGGTAGTGGCAGCTGGTATCGCCGTACACGCCAGGGTGGTGGACAAACTCAAAGGTTGGTAGTTGTAAAAGCCTAGCCTCTGCCAGGCTTCGGGAAGCAGCTGGAAAGAGTAGAAATTGAAAGTACAGTTTGCCACACCCGAATGTAGTTGGCTTCATCAAGGAGGTTCGAATCTTTTTGAACCTCCTTGGCTATATCGGGTGCAGCAGTATAAACTGTACTTTCTAGCGGACCAACTCCCTCAGCATGTTATACATGACATACATGTATCTCTATTTGGCCTACTCTTTCCAGCTGCCTCCTGAAGCCTGGTAGAGGCTAGTAAAAGCCTGGCGTCCAGTCTTCGTGGTTGGGGCGGGCTCTCTTCAGGGCCTAGGGCTCTAGTACTAGTAGTTTCCCCTGCTGAGCTCCCCATGGTCGTTAACTCCCATTGTGCGAAACCTACTAATAAGCCTCGGGTCAGGTCAGGCAGCTAAGAGCTCCTCCAGCCCCAAAGGGAAACCGCCCCAACCTGAACCACCGAATAGACTGGATGCAAGGCTATTAATCATTAAAACTTTTAAGACCCCTTTTATTACCCCTTTAAGACCCCTGAACGATTTAAAAACAGTGCAATACCACATATCGTGCAATTACCGTGAATGAGAACTGAGATTGCTACTTATATATTTTACTGTTCAAAGACTCTTTTATCCTGCCTGTAATTTGTGTGCAATTCTGATATTTTAAATGAACGACATTTTAACGTATCTTTTATTAATGACGTATAATGGTTTTAATGTGTGCTAATTTGTTATTAATCAATCAATTATGTAATTGTCAGAGCAATTCAGGTCCCAACAACATGGAGCCTGCCATTCTGTACAAATGCATGACGAATAAACCATTATTATTATTTATCAATTCCTTTGGCTGCCACTACCATCCTCTGGGAACGTCATGTGTCTTTGTACAAAGATTTAATACCTGAGTAGCCTGGTTACCAAACCTATTATAGCTCCCGAGTCCTACATCCTATATTTGCGGAGAAGACTTGGAAGCTATAAAGTATAATAGGTTACAATGCTAACCAGGCTAGTACCCAAGGTAAAAACAAACATTGTCGATGCTTGAATAATCATTCAATCATCCGGTTGATTGGCCAACAGAATGATGGCTTCACCTCAGATTAGTGATGCATACCGGTTCACTAGACTTGGATCCGGACTTGTAAGAATGTTTAGGTTCAAGTCCAAAAAAAACTAAAAGTCAAGAACCGAGTCCGGACTTATTACCATAAAAGACCAATTCACATACCCCTTTTCATTCCAAACCACTTAAAACCTTCCGTAGATTGTAAAATCTTTGCTGCAAAACGAAGAAAACATTGCCATCGGGCATGGTCAAGTACCGGCCTCCATGTTATGTGGCCAAAGTTTCACCCAGACAACATTGCAAGGTTGCCAACATGCAGTTTTGTACTATGCCATGGGTCACTTACAAGTCCGGACCTGAACCTAAACCTCTGGACTTGAATCCGGACCTGAACCTAAAATTGGGTTTAGGTATGCAGCACTACCTCAGAGGGCCCTAGCTGTGGGCGTGTTCCTTGTCCTGACCTCACTACCGCGGGTCCATCCCAGTCCTGTAAAGTTGTGGACTGGCAGCCTATGACGTTCTCAGAACAGGTAGAGGCAGCGGAGATCGCGGTACATGCCAGGGTCATATATGCAAATGCAATGGTTGGTTCTCTTGTTCATATAGCACTTAAGTTATTTTAAGTTGCACAATTGCTATTGTCTAAAACTACGACCAACACATTCAATTGTTAACTTATTATAGCCGATATCTATATGATGGTAATAAAAATAAATTACCAACTTTCCCAACGATAGGATAAGGTACACACTGCCACTGGCCCAATTGGCACCGCACAAACTTTGTAATATAGAAAACTGTCAAAAAGGTTGGAAACTTTAATTGAGTGACAGTTGCTTTGGTGTCTTGTTACCTGGATGTCTAACCTTCATCGACAAGCCCTGAATGTTCTTTTCCCAACAACAGGCACCGGCTGGCGCGCGGCCCGCTCCTGGCCCCGTGTTTACCGAGCCGTACTGCAGGTTCACTGTGTGTTCAAGGGCGGCCCGCTGCCAGCCAACCTCACTGTGGGCTTGATGGGGCAACTGGACGCATGTCACGCCGACAATAGAGGTGTGTATTATAGAAACCTATCAAAAAAGGTTGAAAGGTTCTGAATTACCAGTAGTAGTTTGGTCAATCATATCTTTGTTGACGTTCTCGTCTCGCCTTGTGTGATTGAAGATCAAATTTTTCCAATAAAAGTGGCCAGCATGTCGACTTGGGCTTCTCATGAATAAAGAACAATACAATAACCCATACTAGTAGACATATGAATTTGAAATGATTAATCCATGTACATTTGTTGCCACATGGAACTTTTCACTTTATTTATTTATACAGGAAATTGCGCTCAGGTCATTTGACCTGTTTTTCAGACAATCCTGTTTTTTAAAAACAACGCAATACATTCACAAATCACAATAACAACAGTTACACAGTATACAGTTATTCTACCAGATACGTTACATATCACGCAACTTTGTTAAGCGACGCTTAAATGTCCTGAACTCTGTCAGTGTTCTCAGTTCAATGGGAAGGTCGTTCCACAGCTTCGCGCCGTAGTGCTGTAGGCTACCACGATATGCTGCCACTCTTGCTGCTGGACAATGAAGCTGGTGGGGGTCATAGTCCCGTAAACGTTTAGCTGCTGAACGTGTGTTAGCCCCTTAAGGACGGCGGTGACATCCATTTGAACAGTGCTGACATGTACTGTGGCGCTTTCCCGCGTACTGACTTGTAGACTGTAGCCAGAGAAACCGTTTCTAGCCGCTTACTGACAGACTCAAGTCCTGCCTCAGCTAGCAAGGTATGAACTGGGACATGGTCTTGAAGTTTGTATCCCGTGATGAGTCTTGCCGCTCTGTTTAACAACCTGTCAAGTTGTAAAGTTTGTGCCTTGTTACATTGTACCAGACTTGGGAGCCACGCGGTGGCGCAGTAGTCCAAATAAGACAGCACTATCAGCAGAATGGTTTGCAATCGCAAATAAGGTTCATTCTTTTAATGAACTATTTTTGCAAACCATGCCCAACGGCCTTTAATATTGATTTTAATTTCAATTTTACAGATTGAAAGATTATGTTAATCGACATTGATTTTGCCCAATCCTCAGTAAATGTGAATACTTAAGATATGAGAGGATACTGTAATCAATTTTGTGTCTTTTTCCTGCCTTAGTCGAGATCGGTGAAGACTACATCCTCTTACTAAAGCGGGGAGATGACATGTACCTCCCAGACATGTACCTCCCAGACGAGGTGGACCACCGTGACTCTGCGGCCTTTCCCGCCGACCAGGACCATTTGGACCAGGTCAGCCGAACCTGTGACCTCGGCGACTTCACGTCCCCCGCCAACACTAGCGCACAGCTCGGGGTGTTCTGTAAGCTGGGATGGGGCCGGGGAGGACTGTTTGGGGGCCGCTGCAGCTGGCTCAGTCAACAGAGGGTCCTTTGGGCTCACCACGTGGTTGCTGGTGTTTGCTTGTTGTGTGTTATGTGTTATGTGTGTGTTTTTTGTGTGTGTTTCAAAAGTATGTAAACCAGATGAGGGTTCAGAGTCACAGGACCGGGGCAGTTCTGAACCCACTATTTACTACAACCCACTTTAACCCTTGGAACCCAATTGAACCTTATTTAACCCATTTTGACCGGGTTGGCAGGTTTTGAACCCAAAGATTTTCACAGAGGCAGTGAAGTTGTGTGTGAAAGTTATATAGAAAAGTGGAGTAGACATAATACATTGTAGTCTCTAACTTAGATTGACTTTGTACAACAGTCCCAATTTCAAAGACGTGCTTTTAATAGAGTCCAAACATGTTTTTGAAACTGGGAATGACTATTGTACAGGTGTCTATGCCACTGGGTAGTCTTACCTTTTGTATACATGTACATGTATATCTAAATTTTCAGTTTTAAAAGTCATAACACACTACCAAACAACATAATTACAGAAAACCAATCGAATTTTAAGACCACATTAAATGACTGGGCAGAAACACACATTGACAAGGGCTCACCCCTTGCTCAGTGGTAGTAAGATTTTGTTGTGGGCAAGTATGTATTGATTTAAATTATGTTCACATGTTTTTGTTCCTCTAAGTATTGAGTGAGTTCGCTTCTTTTGTAGTCATTATTTAATGATTTAATTGAAAGGAATCATATTTTGTTGAGCGTATATTGATTTGTTATTCATATTTTTTGTTATTATTTATGTCAGTTCAAATATTTGTTTACTGTTTTGCTACTTCAATTTTGTATTTATTGGAAGTACATCAATTATTACTTTCATTTCATACATATTATTTCTATTATTTGACCTCTGATCTCCAATTCCCTTTTTCTCTTTGATTGATTCTGTTGCAAGTTTGTTATAATTTCAGTATGATTTGTATGTTTTATTTATTATTATTGCTAAAAGCAATTATTATTATTATTATTGTTATTTTATTTAATGCTGTGGACTCCAGGAAGAATAGTATGGAGTTGACTTCCATACTAATGGAGATCTAAATAAACAAACAAACAAACAAAGTTGCAGTAACAACAATTTCGGAAAGTGCCCCTATCAAAGATGGCAGTATATGAAGTATGAATATGAAAAATTAATCATTATATTTTTTATGAACAGTTGTATGTACTTAAAACAACCTTCGGGAAAGTACAAAGAATACATACATATACACCAAGTAGACAAAATGCGTTATTGTAAGGCCAGTTTCCACAAAATAACTTGTTCCTAGACAAAATAAAATATTTAACTGATGAAGATTAGACTGGGGCACTGAACACGTTATACAAAATACACCAGACAACTGGATAAGGTACTAGTGTTTAACAGGTACTAATGTATTAGTTAACAGTGGAACTAGCTATCATGAAGCACTAGTTAGTATAGGAATGACATGTTTAGAGTTGAGATCTAATGAATGATCAAAGTTGAAATGTTCTACTGGGAGAATCATGAAATTCCCTGATTGCCCAGTCCTGATATAAATTATATATTTTACATACTTAATCTTACCGTCATGTTGTTTTCACTTTGATGGGAACAATAAGTGACCAAATGTATAATTTTGTTTTAAAGCTGTCAATATAATTTGGCACCAATTTTACAAACATTGACCTGTTTGCAATTAATGTGTATTCCATCAAATTAAATGTAAATATCAATTCAGAGTTTCATGTAAATGTGTTATGTCATGCAAGTTTTTTTTCAATAAACGGAAGCTAAAACCTTCTCTCTTCAAAGGGTGTACAAATTGCACATTCCTATTTATTTAATGAATCAGGAGATAATTATTATTATAGAATAGAATAGAATAGATTAGAATAGCAGTTACTTTGTTCCTATTACCTGGTCACATATTGTATATCTACTTTTTACCCTGTATGTATACCAACGTTATTAGGTTTAAGTAGAGATAGTAGGTTCGATAAGTATATCGTACACGTAGAAGTTGTTAGCAAATAGTCTTATATCACCACATTTTTCTTGTTAATGTCTGTATGCAATTAGCCCTCGGGCATGAATTTGCAATAAACATCTCTCTCATATTATCATTATAGACCAATAAAAGACAAAATAGCCTTACACCATTGTCAGTGTACATGTCTGTGACAACTTTGCACTGGTAGCTTGTAACACTTGATACAAACCACCCAAAGGGACACAAAGATATCTACGTAGCCCGGTTCCCTCAATGTTGCACATATTGAACACCTTGGACTTATAGTAGATTATTTTTTAATAATAGCTGTATATGTTGTAATAGTGTTTTATTGCAATGTTTGTTGTAACCGTTTTTAGGTATTTCATGTAATTTGTAACCGATCTTGTAACGCCGTAATTTTAACATAAAAGTGCAATAATCTAGTGCAATAAAAAGTGCAATAATCTAGTGCAATATTTGATGCTTATGCTTAAGTTATGTACATGTTAAATATATTCTACCTGTGTATCTCATTGTAAAAGCTGCCCAATTCAGCCTGCGGGCTGCAATTAGCAACTTATGTATGTTGTATGTATGTTCCTTCTATATATATATATATATACACATGTACATATGTACAGGTAACGTTACATGCAATAAGTTGAAGTAATAAAGGTTTTATCTGTAACAGCTTTCAATTTTCTCATATCACCTACGTCCTACAATATCTAAAATCTCCATACAACTAATGGTTGGGATTGTCCTATGAAGTCAGTGCTGAAAGACTACTAAGGGTCTTGTCCACCATATAACTATAATTGCAACGATTTCTTAGATGTTTATGTTACAGAGCCTTTGTCAGATCTTGTTACTAACATGTATTACTGTAGGGGTTGTAATAGGTAGAAAGGGGTGTTGCCCGGAAAACGTACTTCACTTCCGCATTAGGAGCACGGGACAGAAACGAGCAACGGTTTCACGGCCGCGTATTCGGATCCACGGATCGAAAAATTCGCGGGAAGGCCGGAAAGGTAGAAAGGCCAACGATGATCTTTGCAACATTTTCTACTGAGTAAAAATAGCTAAAAAAAAAAAAAGAAAAAAAAAGGTTAGGAATAGAAGACAGTTGGACCGAATCTTGTTCAGACAAGTAAACACGACGCGATTCAACGCTACTCTCCAAGCAGAGGTTGTGGGGAATGATCGTTACCTTTTTATATATGGCCGT